CGAAAGTGTTACACGTTCACTGGCACACAAAGTTGCACGCGTGAAGAAGCGCACACTTGTTGGATATGTGAAACAGAATTTGCTGACAATGACCAAGTTGTACTTGATCACTGTCACTATACCAACAAGTTCTTGGGGTGGGCGCATAACGAATGCAATATCAATCGAAAAACGGCGAACTAAATACCCGTAATAGCGCATAACTTGTCAAACTATGATCTGCATTTCATTATAAAAGCGCTCTCAAACAGTAACCCCGAAAACACTTACTCATTGATCCCTTCCCCTGAGGAGAAGTATATATCACTCACTATGTCGGTCTATATCAAATCATACGCCGATAAAAACGGAAAACTCAAAAAAGTGTATGAAAATCAACGTTTTATAGACTCCTATAAATTCATGCTGTCCCCCCTTTCAAACCTTGTCGAATACTTGCCGGAAGAAAAATTTTTCCTACTGGAAAATTACTTTGAAGAACTTGGTTACTCATCAGATCAGATAGCATTGCTAAAACAAAAAGGTTTCTACCCGTATTCATACTTTAGTAGTTTTGAAAAGTTTCGAGAAACCCGACTGCCACCTAGAAAAATGTGGAGCAACACTTTACAGGGAGGGGAAATAAGTGTTTTGAAAAATCAGTACAACCATGCCATTAAAGTTTTCGCCGAAATGAAATGCGCATCACTAGGCGAGTACCATGATGTATACTTAGCAACGGACGTACTACTACTCGCTTCAGTATTCGAAGCCTTTCGTGAAGTTTGTTACGAAACATACGGATTAGATTGTGCATGCTACTTCACGGCTAGTAACCTCTCGGGCGATGCATTCTTAAAAGTCTGCAATGCAGACCTCAAGTTACTTACTGAAAGGGAGCATTTGAACATGGTTCGAAAAATGATACGGGGAGGGATGTCATCGATATATGCACGCCGTTTTCTTAAAGCCAACAACAAATACCTCGAAGACTACAATCCTGAAGAGCCCTCTAGCTATCTATTGAATATAGACGCTAACAATTTATACGGGGGTATTATGAAACACTGTCCCCTTACCATCAAAGATTTCTCAATAGTTGAGGAAAGTCTCAAATATATTTTGCAAACCGACGATAAATCTGAGTGGGGATACATTTTGGAAGTGGATTTCAGTATACCTGAAGAACTTCAAGATTACTTTGCAGACTACCCGCTAGCCCCCTCACGTGAAGTTATCGGCACGGATAAACTAAGTAACGAGCAAATACAGATGTTAGGGGAGATGGGGGTCACGTCGCTACCAAAGGTACCAAAACTGGTTCAAACATTAGATCCAAAGGAAGGCTACGTTCTGCACTTCCTTACTTTAAAACTCTACATAGAACTAGGCTTAAGAGTTACCAAATTGATTAAGGTCTTAAAATTTTGTCAAAGTAGATGGATGGAGCCCTTTGTCGATTTAAACACTCAATTGAGAATGTCAGCGCGCAACAAATTTGAAGAGAACTTTTACAAGCTCATCGTAAATTCAGCATCCGGTAAAACTATGGAATCAAAACTAGGACGCAAAAAACAAGAAATTATTAGAAACGAAAGAGAATTGCTTCAAAAAACAGCTTTGAGCACGATGAAAAGCTTCCAGATAATCGACGAGAAAGTTGCTACTGTTTGTTTTGCTGTAACGAGTATTTTGTGGGACAAACCCATGATAATTGGTGCAAGTATTTTGGATTTGTCGAAAGGATTCATGTTTTACTTTCATTATCGGCAAATGAAAGCAAGCATGAACCTTGAACTGCTATACAGTGACACATATTCGTTTATTTATGCGATAAAAACCGAAGACGTATACGCAGATCTGCAAAAACTGACCGATAGTTTCGATTTTTTTAACTACCCAAAATCATTGCAGAATTCATCGCGTTGAAACCAAAGCTCTACTTGTTGAAATATGCAGGTTAGTATTGAAAAAAAGCACCTATCCAAGCCCCCTTCATTTCTTTACATTAAGGGTTCCCTTCATTGGGGTTTTGGATCTTGTTGGGACCAAATTAATAACTTTTGTTGATCCCTGTCAATTTAATTAGACATAACTAGCACTGAAAGGCTCTATTTCTTCATTTAAAAACTTAAAATGAAGAACCATTCATCATTTAAAAGGTTTTAAACAAATACTCACCACAAACGCACTTTTGTAACTTTTGACGTGAACAAATTTAAAATTTTGACATTGAATGATTTCTTGATAATGACACGATTTGGAATTTTTATGATTTGGAATGAATTAAGATATTTAAACTTTTTGGAATTGAAAAAATTGGAATGTTATTAGATATTGAGTCTTCAAAATATTCAAATTTGGGAACCGTTTTCGTTATTAATACTAGAACTGGGCTTGCGAATTTTTATGGGCTTACAAAGCTAAAATATGCTTATGGGCTAATCTTTGTTCTTCATTTAGATTCAACTAGCAAGAGGACTGCAAAAGGAGTAGTGCAACACTCCCAGTAGCAACTTACACACCAGAGGTTCAGGGAAACATTACTGAGTGGAAAAACCCTTCGTATATATAACTACTCAAAAAAATCGAAAGCCCATACCAAAATAACCATAGCGCAGAACCGAATTGCCCTTTCACCCTTCGATAGTAAGCGGTTCTTACTATTCGACGGGATAGCTACATTGCCCTTTGGGCACAGGTCTACAGAAGAAAATGTGTTCTTCGAGGCAATTGCGGAAGAAAGCGAGTGGGCAAACTCACAGTTGACAAATACCCCGACTTATAGCAGCGAAAACAGCGAAAGCTGGCAATCGCCGGAATTCCTGGTCCCAGATTGGGGCTTTCTTCAAGAAAGCTATACGGAGGAAGAGCTTCAAGAAGAAAGCGCAGCTAGCAGTTCAAGAGACCCTCCGCCTATCAATAATCCATTCATTCTAACAGAAGCGTCTGTTCGTTCTAGTCAGAAAAAAAGAGAGAACTTGATAAAATTGATCAATAAAATTTTTCTCTTAAAAATGTCGGCTAAATTGCCTTGTTACTTGGAATTACGGCTGTACATTTGTAAATATAAAACATTCAACAAACATTGTCTTAAGTTAAATAGACCGGGGCAAAAGAGACTGGTAATTGCAACTTACCCTTGAAGCAGGAGCGAAGGATTGCGTATTTAGTTTCCCAAAGTAAGCTAATAGTAAGGCTAAAAGAATCAAAATCGTGCAAGTCGAAAATAAGGGAGACTTGGAAATAAGTTTGAAAATAAAATAAGAAAGAGAAACGAACAATAATTACCAAAAATTTTTAAAAGGAAATATGAATGGTATTTTATGTAAACTCATATTTATATGAACAAAAAGGACTAGCTTTTAGATAAAAATAAGCGAAAAAACCGCAGCCGGATATACCCATACTTATTTAGTGGTGGGAAAGTTTGGAAGGGATTAAATTTAACCACCGCGCGGAAATAAATACCAAAGTGTTTTGTCTGTCGGGTGTCCTAAGAGAGGGGTCTTTTTATTTCGGGCAGGGTACTTTGGGGTCTTTAAAAAAGATGGGTATTTTTGGACCCTACTTTTTGGTAGGACCCCAAAGACCCCTACCGTCGAAAAGACCCCCCCCCCCCCTAAGGACACACGGCGGATTACAATACTACTGAGGCAAGATTTTCAGAAATTGTTCAAGATTTGAGCGGTTTTTTTAGATAAACCGTTCAAAAACCGCTCAAACCGCTCATTTTGAAGCAAGATTTTGAGCGTAATTGTCTAAAAAAACCGCTCAAACCGCTCAAATCTTGCCATTAGGTGAAAAATCTCGACTCGGGCATCAATCAAGAATGCCCCGAAGAAGCCCCTAATATATTGACCAGGTTGCTGCTTTCTTGAACCCCACCCTCAAGAACACAGGCACAGCTGAGCGAGGATTCATATCGTGGAACCTGTTGCAAAGACTCCCCGACGGACGGATTCGACCTTCGACTCCTACCGATCCATTAGCGACGAGGAAATCCCAATCAACGAAGCGGCAGTGAAAGAGCTGGAGTCAAATAAACTGAAGTCTTTCAAGACTATCAGTACAGACCACACCGAGTTCTGGAAGGGAGCAGCGTCGGAGTACCCCCACCTCGCCCGTGTAGCCCCAAGCGAGCATGACTTCAGCAGGGCTCGGCAAAACCGGACAGCCAAGCGTGCCTTCTTTTTTTGCGACAAAAGCCTGGCAAATTGAACTGCTATGAGCGGCTGCAGCCAATGGACTTATTAAATTTAGATTTTTATAATTTCACATTTGAACTTCAATTTATTTTTGTTTGTAAATTTTTGTTTTCACTAAAAGCGGACCCGGGCGTTAAATTTTTGTTCTCCAAACGGACCGGGCTGGGCCCGGGCCTGAAGCAACCCTGCCGAGCCTGGCTTGGGTCTCAAATTCAGGCCCGGTTCCCACTCTGGGTGGGGTTTGGTGTGTTTGGGGCATTGTTGCAAATTAGTGATGTGTTGTGTCCTATTATTAGGGAGTGTGAATTTTCATTTATGTTCTGATTTGTTTTATGGGAAGTTTAAGCTAAGAAAAACTTCAATAAAAATGTTTAATCAAATATAACAACAAAAAATGAATAACAATTTGAATTGTTCCGACAGACTTAAGCTTTTGTCCATTTACGTTTTTGCAAGCGCTTTTATTTGTATTTTCAGAAGGTTTCTTTTAATTTTCTTTGAGTAGTGCTTAATATAGTGACAAGGACAACCGTAATTTTGAAATGAATATAAAAAAAAACAGCATAACTGAGAATAACTGAAAAAAGTATAAATTTTGTGGACAGTTTAAAATTCTGTCAAGATATTCAAACTTTGGTAATCTTTTCGGATTTTTTCTGTTCTACAATCCAATTACTATACATTCAATTTTAATTGATTTTCTGATTAACAACAATCTTTTCGCTGAAATTAATTTCGACCATGGAGATTCGAGCATTATGGACCATTTTTCGAAACAACAACGTTTTTTGCCCTATATCTTAAAAGACCCACCTCTGCGACTATGGCAACTATTCCGGCTCCGAACATGTCGACGAGACAGTTGAGTGCCAGAGGGTAGTACTCCAGTTTGCGAAAGTGGGAAGAGATGGCGAAGATAGCCACTATGTACCCATTCAGCCCCATGCTCAGTGCCCCAGTCACGAACTGTGAAATTAAAAAGAAATTTATAAGTATATACCCCTCTTGCATAGGGGGGACTTCGTAAAAAAACAATATTACCATGCGCTTAACCAACCCGGAAGACATGAGGTTTTATCGATTTATGCAAATGCTGAAATACTCGCAAATACTGGGTGGGAAGTGAATAATCTTTTTTGGAAGTTAATTAAGAACAATCATGGTTTAGTTAAACACTGTTTAAAGACTTAGTGTTTAAAGGTTTCCAATTACATAAGCTTGTTTTGCCTTAGAATGAAATTTTTACATAGTCGAAACTCATAAAAACTTGAAATTTGTTTTTCAGACCCAAACGCACCGTTCTGGGCATTATTAAAATGTACATGTTCGTCTTGTCATGTACAATTAAGGTGGTATAATCATTTTAAGACGATTATTGGTCCGACTTTCGGTACGAAAGTAACGGAATATTTGTGCTCGGGGTGGGTTTTTTTTCTTCAGACAAATTTCGACTTTTTAACTAGCCGTTTTTGACGCAATTTTTTCATATCATTCAAACGCTATTGTTGTCCTGAGCTTGAATTTGAAAAAATATTTTACCTGTGATCCTTTTTCGTAAAGTTACGGGGGTTTAAAGATTGCCATTTTGGCCAATTTGGGACAATTAACGTGCGATATATTTCGCGCTATTAACGCGTAAGCTGAGAGTTAATCCGTCTTAGAAATCGTTCCAAATTGGTTGAAAGAAGCTTATTTGCCATAATTGATTTGTTACAAGGAGCGAAATCTATATTTTTGTACTTTATATGGCGTGTGGGGGGATGATTTTCATGAAAAAAGTCAAATTTTAGAAAAAAAAATTTCATTTTGTTATATTTCATTTAATTTCTTAAATGTTATTACTGCTCCACAAACATTAAAAGGCGGTCGGAACATTAAGGGCTTCGCCCTGATACGAGCAGTCTTGTTATTGTTTTATTATCATTTATCTAAGGGCATATAGTTGTGGATGGCCATGATTTTTTTTACTTTTTGCTTAGAATGAAGTTACACAAAAACAAAAAGTGTATATGATCACAGAACTGATCAAACTGATTATTGTAAGTTATTTGAAAAACAATGACTCAAAAAGTAAATTACAATTTTGAATTGAATTTATTATGTTACTGTGACATTAATAACGCAACTTGCGGTGGGACAAAAAGTATTTACTCAGCCAAAAGTTAATTCAAGCCTGTAAACAATATTTTTTGTAAATTGCAAGTTATCTTCCAAAATCCACTATTTTCTGATCGTCTAATTTGCTTTGTGTCAAACTTCTTAAGCCCCGATGGTTATAATCATTATTGTATTTATGATGATAAACATGATCATCATGATTATATTTTTTATTAATAAAACTGTTCTGAATTTTTCTTAACTTTCATGATAAAACTACGAATTCTTAAAGCCGCAAAGTTTGGACACAGAACTGCAAAAACCTGGAAAAATTGTGTAGTTAAGTAGTGATTTGAATTTCGTTTAAACTGTCTTTGGAATCCGCATAATCTGAAAAAATTCTGCAGTCGGAAATTTGACGTAATGAAAAACATGTTAGAGCTCTATGTGTTTAATTTAAAATTTAGCTAACGAGGAAAAAAATCAATCTAATTAGAATGCGGATTGAGAAGACAAATGCTAAGACATGCTTGGTTTTGGATTTCGCAGACAAATATGTTTTTGAGGAGTGAGCTGAAGCTAAATGTCGCTGGACTCCACTGTTTGTCAGCGGATTCCATAATCATTTTGTTCTAGTTGTAGCTGAATTCCATGATTTGTCAGAGGATTCTGCAGCCTATTCGTTTTTTTTTCTGTCTCTGAAATCTAAACGCACATTTTCAAATATTTGAATATTTATCGGGCCTATTTTTTATCACCTGATTTTTCTAGAATATTTAGTGAACATGTCACTTCTAGTTTCAAAAACTGCGATTACCTAATTTCTTTTTTTATGACAACTTTTATATTAACTTGTCTTAAAATTGATTTTGAAAAATTGAACTTGGTGTCTTATTGTCTAAATGTTTTTAAATTTCTGAGTGAGGTGATGTTCGACAGCATTAAAACACATTCTGATTACCTAAACAACATCTTGCAGCACATGAGAAGCAAAAATTATTCAAATGCAGATTTTCCCGAATTTTCGTGTAGACTTTTGCGGTTTTAGATCAAAAATATTGCGAATTTCTGGTATCCCATATAATTATTTTCAAAATTTTTAGACTGAATTTAGAATGTCCACGTTTTTGCGACAAATGGTGATGTTTTTGTGAATCGCGTCAATGTTTTTGTGACCCACGGCTATATTTTGTGACCCAATGCGATGTTTTTGTGACCCATAGCGATGTTTTTCTCATTCAAGGCGATGTTTTTGTCACTCAGGCAACAACTTTGTGACACACAGCGATGTTTTTGTGGCCAACTGCGATATTTTTGCGACCCACGGCAATATTTTTGTGACCGGGGGCGATGTTTTTCTCATCCAGGGCGATGTTTTTGTGACTCACAGCGATGTTTTTAAGACCCACGACGAAATTTTTCTTACTCACGAAGATGTTTTGGTGACCCTTGGCGATGTTTTTGTGACCCACAGCGAGACTTTTGTGACCCATGGCCCTGTTTTTTTGATGCACGGTGATTTTTTTCAACCACGGCGATGTTTTTGTCACACGGGCGATGTTTTTGTGGCCCACAGCGACGTTTTTGGGACTCACGGCGAAATTTTCGTGACCTACCCGACGTTTTTATGAACCCCAGCGATGTTTTTGTGACAGACGGCGATGTTTTTGTGACCCACAGCTAGACTTTTGTGACCCATGGCGATGTCTTTGTGACCAACGGCGATATTTCCGTGATCCACAGCGATGTTTTTGTGACACACGGCGATGTTTTTGTGACCCACAGCTAGACTTTTGTGACCCATGGCGATGTCTTCGTGACCAACGGCGATATTTCCGTGATCCACAGCGATGTTTTTGTGACACACGGCGATGTTTTTGTGACCCAGGGAGATGTTTTTGTGATTCATGTCGATATTTCTCTGACGTGCGGCAATATTTTTGTGACTCGCTCGACGTTTTTATGAACCGCGGCGATGTTTTTGTGACACACGGAGATGTTTTTGTGACCCACAGCTAGACTTTTGTGACCCATGGCGATGTTTTTATGACCCGCAGCTATGTTTTTGTGACACACGGTGATGTTTTTGTGACCCACGACGATGTTTTTGTAACCCATTGCTGTTTTTTTTTGTGACTGAGAGCGATGTTTTTGTGACCCACGGTGATGTTTTTGGGACCCAAGGAGATGTTTTTTGTGACCCACGGCGCGACGTTTGCGAATCGCGGCCCGATTTTTTGTTCCCACTTTGCGGACTCAAACTCTCGGCATTTTATGCACGGTTCTATAACGAAAATCAAGACAAGAACATTGTTGATCAAACAATGTGCGGCAGTGAATATCGGGTTGCGACGGTCGCGACTCTTCACCTTGGTCGCGAAGATATTTTTGGCCTCGTAGTCTGAAAATGTCTCCGCCTAGTAGTCTGGTGTCTCCGCCTTGGTAATGAAAGTCGCAAAGGATCACTTCGGTCGCGAACGTCTGGAAATGGCAGAACTTGATTGCTCTGGTCGCGCCGCTGCATGTCATGTCGCACCGATAATGACGTTTCCAGAGTCGCGCTGTCTGTACATTGTTGGCGAAAGTAAAGAAGGATCTCTCCTGACACGAAAAACTGGAAACTACCCGTTTTTGTTCTCAAAGTCTGGACATGTCAAAACTTGTTGCGACGGTCGCGCCTCTTCACTTTGGTCGCGAAAATATTTTTGGCGTCGCAGTCTGAAAATGTCTCCGCTTTGGTAATGAAAGTCGCAAAGTCGGATCACTTCGGTCGCGAACGTCTGGAAATGACAGAACTTGATTGCCCTGGTCGCGCCGCTGCATGTCTTGTCGCACCGATGATGACGTTTCCAGAGTTGCGCTGTCTGTACATTGCTGGCGAAAGTAAAGAAAGATCTCTCCTGTCACGAAAAACTCGAAATTACCCGTTTTTGTTCACAAAATCTGGACATGTCAAAACTTGTTCGTGATAGTCTGGACAAATGCGCGAAACTTCGTCCCGGATGTTTTGCAGAAAATTGCAATTATATTTCGATAAAGATGAAAAAAAAACATTTTGTGTTCAGACTGAGAAATTTAACACATCTCATTTAACCAATTTTTATTTTGGCATTATGTCAGTTACTTCAGCTAAGAACTGAGCCAAGGACAACCTGAAATATTCTGACCTTGTAGGTTAAACTCAACAATTCTGTCGTTTTCACATCGCTGAACAAAATTTTTAAAAATTTTTTGAAAACTTGAAAAAATTTTTACGTAAATTCTGTGTGGAAAGTTTCTGATCATAAATATTTTCTGCGTCTAAAATTTCTGTCAGGTTTAGACGGTTTTGATTAGGGTCATTAAACTGCAAAAATATATATTGTGGACTAACAGTGACGACCAGTATTGCCAGTTTCAGTTTCCATTCTGAGAGTTCGTAGTCCAAATATCCCTGGGAAAATCGATTCATGTATGGAGTGGTGGTAGCCCATATGTACATTCCATCTGCTGCGCATAAAACATCACATTCAATTGCTTTTTAAGTTCGAGTTAAACTCTCTTTTCCACTTCCCTTTTTAATTTTTTTATTTTGTTATAAAATTTAATTTAAAACAAATTTTAATGTTATAAACTTTTAGCCGGCCCTCAAAGTATTCTAAAAGCGCCTTTGGCGCCAATTTACGGAAAATTCGAGAAAGAAGCGAGCAAAAACTAAATTGTTTAAAACAAGACCTGAAAAAGTTTACAAAATTGACTTTGTGCCTGTGCTGATGATTGACTTTTTGATGATTGACTTTTTGGCCTGTTGCTGCAGAAACTTTCCCGCGGGTTCTTAAAGCAATCCGCCCTCACCTTCGGTAAAACTTTCGATAAAAACCTAGATCAGCCTTTGCGCTCGGGCTATGCTATGCGATCAGCCTATGAGTATTTAAAAAAACCAGTTTATTTATAATCCTTTTTGTGAAAATAGGCAAGTATAAAAATGATTTCATTGGCATCTGGCTTAAGTGGCGATTTAACTGGATTTCGAAATTTAAAAAAAAATACAATTAAAAAAATACAAAAATACAACATTTCCTACTGGTTAAACCTAGTAAAACTGATGAAAGTAATTCTAGTTTTGTAATGCATTATGAAAATAAATTAGCTATTTTCAAATCTTTTTGAAACTAATTGTTTAACAGTTTGCCATTTACGCTAAAAATTAAAAAAAGTTTGAGTTTATGCGAAATTTTTCATGTAAAATTCGACAAATTTCAACGTCAAAAAATAGTTGCAGGGCTACACATTTAATTATTATGATTGCTTCAAGGGTTGTCAGGGTATTTCAAAAAATCAAATGATAGGAAAAATTCCCTCCAAAAACGTTTGACGAGGAGTGAATTTTCTCGGGAACGAAAACACTGTGCAGATTTTATACGCACTTAAGCGTTTTCAAAAGTCGGAGCAGGAGAAGCAAAAAAATCGCAACAAAAAATTGTAGATATTTTGAAGAGCAGTCGGATACAAGCACTAATGTTTATTGAATACAAAAAGTAGTAATTCGAAATGGTTTTTAGAAAAAAAACTTTCCTGTAGTCGTTGATGCAGCTTGATCTCGAATTGAAGTGGTGTCGTTGCGAGTAGTGTTGTCAATAAAATCCATATCGGACCACTTTCAATCTAAAACTGTGCAATTATCAGAAAAGTTGAGTTAACTTAGGACAATTGGTTGACAAGAGAAATGATCGACATAGGAACCTTTCGGCTATTTTTAAAGAACTGCTAATGCAACCTTCTTTAAAATTTTATGCAAGATTTAGTTATTTTTCACTGCTTGGTGTCTTTTTATAATATATAACTTCCGCATAAAAAAATTCCCTTAAACTGACTCCACATTGAGATTAAATACAATACTCGATTTTGAAAAAAAACCTTGAAAATGACTAAATTATCATTTTTGACAACTTTCAATTTTTTGTTGCCATTTTTTATGCTCAATTTTGATCATTTTGTATTTTCAAGATTTGTACTCATTTAATCAATTTGATCATTTTGCACTGTCTTTTTGTAATCATGGAGTTTTCACTCGTTTTGGTGAAGCTTGAAGTGTACTGGTGTATGTTATAGATAGAATATTAATGATGAAAAGATAATTTTTTCAGTGCATAGAACAAATCACACTTTAAAATTTATTAAAATATAACCAGAAATTGATAAGCAGCACAATTCTTCCACAATAAACGTACTTTGTTGAAAAAAAGTTTCACTAATAATTCGCTTATAAATACATAACTCACTGAGTTATTTTAAATTACTATTTCATATACATTGACATTTGATTGGGTATGGATGCCATATCTACTGCCCATTGTTTTTGCATTTTTGTCTTCTTCAAGTTTTAATTTAAAAATAATATATTTAGTTTATTATACACATTTTACATAAGAAAAAAAACTTTTTTTTGTAGTTGTTAGTTTTTCACTCATAAAAGAGTTGAAACGGATCTAATTTCATTGCAACAGATAAAACGAGTATAGTTTTTCAGGTGCACAGACTTTCATTGCATGAGAGCAGATTGATTTTTCTTGTGGCAGTTGTTTTTTTACTGATTTTTTGCTTTTTTTTCTCTGAAAAATTGCATTTAAGCATGCCAGATTTGATTCACAATTTTTGGAAATATTTTTAGCTGAAAAGACAAACCCAGAAAGAAATGAATTCGTTTGCACCTGAAATTGCAAAACAAAGAAGCAATCATTTTGAAAACATTTTTCGGAGAGCTAAAAGTTAGCATAAACACTTTGAATCTGAGTTTTTGCTCCTCAAACTAAACAAAATTACAGATTCAAATTCGTTGATATAATTCAATAGATGGCAGATTCAGTTTCAATAATTAATTATTTTTTTTTTAATTTTTCCAATAGTATTTTTTATCTACTTTACAGCCAAAAGAAGCGTAAGATTTGAATCTTTGAACAAATTAATATATGGCAGAATAAAATATTTAGAGAAAAAATATCCCAGTAGCGTTTACATTGACTGAAATTGAAATGATTTTCTTATGCATTTTCAAGTTGAATACATGCACAAATATAAAAGTTCTCAAAGTTAGCATCTTTTGTAATATTGCCAATCAGGGATTTCACAAACAGCACAAACAGGAAGTTTTCATCAGGAAAGAAGCTGGTGCCCTCAAACTCCAATTTTTAGCAAAAAAAATACAAAAGAAAACTTTCTAAAATTTATAAAAACTTTCAACGGTCACTCTAGAGCAAATCAAATTCTCTGTGCAAAAAGCAGCCCCGGGTAGAAATACTTCCATATTGAGTTGAGGCAATGATATTTTTCTTATTAGCGCTAGGTAGATGTAAACTACGTCATTTTGTTTGTTAAAGAAGTTTTTACCAAAAAAAATTTTTTCTCCAAAATGATTTTTTCTATAGTTTTATCACTTCTTCCTTTAATATTTTATAATATTTACAGGGTAGTTGACCGGAGCTTTCTGATAAAAACACTCTTGCTCTATATTTTGATAATAATAAATTGTTTGGCTAAACTTACCGCTATATCAAAAAAGAGAAAAAGTTAGCTTTTAATCAAGTAAATCTGTAGTCTCAGCCATCAAGTCTAATTAAAAGGAAAAAAATTATGCGAGATTAGATAGATTTTAGTTTTTATTGATATCAGAATTGCAAATTTGTTTTAATACCTTACCGTTCGATCAAAAAATCACGATTAATCAATTATGCGCAACCTTTGATCACGACTTCTCGATAAGAGTTCATTCTTTTTTAGAACTTTTGCCAACTAAATTAAGAACTGAGCACCCTCGGTAAAAAATATTTCTCCTTGAAAAAAAATCTATGACTAAGAGCCAGCACAGCATATTAATGCGAACCATTTTAGTTTCATGAGTGTTCTCAAACACAGTTGCAATAAGCATCAGGTGAGCAGTTCAGTTGGTGAAGTAGAAAAAAAACTCAACATCTCAATAGGAGAGTTAGTGATTCGAGGCCCACCATGGTCCTCGCTCGTTCCGCGAGGGTGAGGCAACAATTTCAAGACTCTAAAAACATTCCAATGGTTGCTAGTGGCTCATAACCAGGTCATAGCAGCGTTGCTCCGTAAAGAGCTGTTTGGTCATTGGTCCTTTTTCTCGTCTAATTTTTTTATCTGTCGCAAAATCATGCGTAAGGCAGTCTTACGATGTTTTAAAACCTCTGTATCATTAAAAAAATGCACAAAAAATTTTGGAATACTGAAAGTTTCCTACTGACCCTAATAAAAGGATGTTTTTTTTTAAAAAAAAAGCTTTCACTGATTCAGAATAAATTTTATCTTTATGATGTTGGATACTGTTAAGTTGCTACTTGAGGGTTTACTTGGTACCGAAATACGTCTTTAACAATGCGTTGAGGATGGTAGCCTAATTTTAGAAGGATTGAAAAATTTGAATCGCTTAGTTTTTGGAAACTGTTTACATGAATAATCTGTTTACATGAATAAACTAACTATTTGCCAAATTTTTACATTCGTAAGTCCAAGGCTGTTGCCGCTTTTTAGAATTCAGATTCACCCGTTTTTATTATTTTTAATCAGAAAATAATTCAAATCAACAATTACTATGTAAATAACAGCTGACATGCCTAGATACACGACTGAACTCATTATATCAATTTAGACTGAAATTTACTCCAAATATAACAAGAAGGACCAGTTGATGGGTAAGTGGCAAGATATGGTTCGACTTAAGTACAAAAACACCGGGCCCAATCCATTATAACTCCACAAAATGTTATTCAAAAGTGTTACAATTTAGCTGGTGTGTCCAAGCAATCTTAAAATGTGACAAAAAATCAAAATTAGCAGTTATGCGATGAAGACAATTGCAATCTACAATATTTCCAAGGCTATGGATTGCGCTGGGTTCTTAAAACAGCGCGGACAGTTTTTTCCAAACATTTTGTCTTTTTTGGGTCAGTTTATTTGGTCTTTTCGAGCTATGCCAATACCTTGACTGGATCATAGTTACCAAAAAATTTTCAACAAGCTATTTTATGGAGTTTTTGGAATTTTTGACAAAAAATAGGTTATTCAGAAACCGCTCCGCTTTCAAACTTAGTGCATAGTGTCCTTAAGGCGCCATCAGAACTTTTTTGGATTAATTGGCCAAAGCTGTTTTCGTAAACTATTAGGAAATAAATTTTAAGGCCTTTTGATAAATAGAGTTGAGGGAGGGGGACAACACTCCTTCACCTCGGCACACTTTTGTCTCGAAAACAAAACAAACCTTTTTCGAGTCTTTTGATTTTCAAAATTATATACTTTTTTTAGTTTTGAAAATCTATAAGTATTATTATTGTCAGACGCGTATATTTGTGTGGAGAAAAATCATTCCCGCCCGCATCCAGTTTCAAGCGTTAATAATCGATTATATTACCATTTTAGTACCAGTCTTACTAAAATTGAGAAACAATCAATTTTAATCAACTAATAGTCGGTTATAATCTCTCATTTTAAAATCAAATTATAATTATTTATAAAACATTATAATAGATTATAATCCCTTTTGTTTGTCCATTTTGTCTTCGAAGTTTCATCTAAATTGCTTATATTTTATACTTTTTGTAGACGTTGATTCCTATGATAATTGAGAAAAATGTTTGTAAAGTTTTCCAATCAATTCAAATTTATAAGTTTTTTCATAACTTCCCCATTAGAGTTGTTTTGTGATGCATGTTTAAGCTTTTTTAACCACCAAAACATCAGAAAATTGATTTAGTTTCATGATTGATTCGGAAGATTCATTTTTAATCTACCGCAGGAACTTTTCCACGAATGTGAAAGGATCTCTCTGAAACTTTTGTTTTGTGGTGAAACTTTGTGCTCAGATGAACCAAAGTGTTCAAGAGATCTCTATTTCAGAGACTTTCTTATTGACTCAAAAATAATAACCCATAAAATATCAGTCGAATATTGTTTTGTATTTACAAAATTTTGAAAAAATAAGAGATTATAATCGATTATAATCGATTTTAAGGGTTTTTTGTAAAAAATATAATCAATTATAATCGATTATAAGAGATTATGATCTCTTGGAAAATATCACGATTATAATCAATTATCAATCTTTTAAACACCTAATTTTGGTAATTGTGGTCAATTATAATTGTCAAAAAATCATCATAATAATCCGTTATAATCGATTACTTGCGCCTAAACTTGGATGCGGGCAGCCCTAGAGTTATTTTGTTACTTATTTCGTAAAGCTATTTTGATGTCGGACTCACGCAAATAACCAATAGCGTAAAAAGTCTGTCGTGCTCTGCAACAGAATTTTTTTTAACATAGCTATTTGAACAGTAAACAACGAAAGTTTCAGGTGCATACAAACTATAAAATAAAATTGAGCTAAAATTGCGTGAAAATTATACAAATGACAAGGATAAAACTGGGTCTTTAATTTTAGCTGATTTTTCATCAAATTTTCATGTCAAAAGTGATTATGAAATTGCCTTTTCAACTTACCCACTTTGGTTTAGCGCTGATTTTTCAGTACGTTAATTGTGACAACCAATTGAATTACTCTGAAACATTCCCAAATTTTGATTCAGATCAACTACTTATTACTTCTGTTTTAATTGTCAGTATCATTTATCAAAAAGAAAAAGCAGCGGCTTTTTGAAATATGAAAATTTTTAGGAACTTTTTTAACATATCTTGTTTCGACCGGACAGATTTCTACATTGTTAAAACATGCTTCAAAATGTTTTGGGTTCTTAGTTATGACTTTGAATCAATTTTGAATAAATGTTCTCTAATGAAACTCAAAAGTTCATTCTACTACAACCAAAAACACAGAAACTTGAAAAATCAGTAAAATTCTTAAACAACCTACTTTGAAAAAAAATACACTGTAAATTGAGTGGAAGGTATTGAAGTTAGTCAAATTTTTTAATTTTTCGAAAATTTTCACTACATGGTTAATAGAAAATGAAAAAAATTAACAAAGATTTTTGTCAACAAATATTGATCAACTGTTCGTCTTTTTAAAAAAATCAATACAAAAATGATAGTAGTCGAAGGAAATAAAATGGTATGATAGAATAATGATAGTGCTTCAAGGAAATAAATTTAGGTTCTTGATTGGAATGAATAAATTTTCCGTTTTATGAGCAGAAAAATTTGGACGATGAAACAAAAAGATTGGACACAAACAAATTGGCAGGTTCAAACGATTGAATTTTCATGCATGGGCCATCGAAACTGCCAACTTTTGCATGGCTGAAAAACTTACTTTTTTCTATAAACTAATGCAAAATGTTTCCTCAGTTTTTAAAGAAGCTTACATAACTTCAATTTACAATGAAGGAGATCCAAATCCAACATAGGCAATCAATTACAGTAAGTTTTGCATATTGACAAAAGAATAACAAAAAGTCAAGTTTCATTCAATTTGATTTTCCAGAAAAAAATCGTCCGCTGACGCGGTAATATTTTTTATCAAAGAAATAGTAGAGAAGGTTTCCTTTGTGTCTCATTCCAATTATTCTCAATGGAATTTAAATTAATTCCAATTCAATCGCATTAGAATTGCAAATTACTAATTATGACAAGAAATTGAGACTAAAATCAATAAATTGTCAATTCGAGAACCGTCTAATTGCTGCATAAAACAGCTAGTTATCGATTTTTGAGAGATATTTTCTATTATAATTCTTGAGTTTTAACTCGCTTGGCCCATCACTTTATAAACTTCCTATATTAACTTTCCAATAATAAATAAATTTGAAACTTTGATACCTCCAAATGGCCTAAAAAGTAAAAAAGACCAACATCACCGATAAGCTAGACAATTAATCGGATAATTATTGTTTAGACAATTCCATAACAGTTTTCGTACCCGATTTTTAGGATATCTAACGGCAGACGAGAGATGGACCTGGCAGAAGAATTGAGTCAATGGAATTCATCGTATTGTCAGGACCCGCTTCCCCCGTCGTTTTTATTCAACTAATTATTAACAGAACTGTTTCATTTGGAGACCAACTTCATGAGCACTAGCAGGAAGCCATATTGTATCTTTTTGTTCCGACTATTGAAAATGGAGAGTAACTTTGTCTTTGGATGTGTTTTATCTTTTTCTTTTTGTTTCTTTTTACTAGGTAAACAAATAAAGATTGGATAATTTTGAGTAATAGATCATAATAAAGCCCTTTATAGCGACATTATTCGAACGACATAGAAAAATTTTCCGAAACTTACTCCCAGTGACGAGATAAACTTGTATAAAATTTTGAGCGAGCAAAGCGAGCGAGTAATTTTTATGATAGCTCATAATTCAAACTAATCCGTGAAATTTTAGTTTTACTCCAAAAGTATATTTTAGCATCGTCTTCAGAAAAATTTGATTTTTTCAAAAATCAAAAGAACTTCTGCAATTTAATTTCTTTAAATTGTTTCTTTATTTTTTGAGTGAAACTTTGGTCAGTTAAGGCTATTGTACCGGTTTGACCTCAATAGAAAAAAGAGTATCATACAATTCCATACAATAAAAGTTTATCATACAATTTCATTCATGGGTTCTATGGAAAAAAGCTTAAGCTTATCATACGATTCCAAATGGGTTCTTAGGTAAGTTTAAATCAGCTTACATTGTTTTAAATAAATGAAAACATATTGGTCATCAAAACTTTAGTTTTGTTTTGAACAAAAAATGTTTATCTTACGAGTGCCATTAAAGAAAATTGTATGATAAGCATGTACTAATGAAAAAACTAGGAAGCTGAGGAGAAATATTTTTATTTGGGAAAATATTTCTCATTTTAACCGCTAAACCAGTTTATGGACAAAAACTTTTTTTTTTCAATTTTTTTTCCGCAAAGTTTTCAAATTTTGCATATAACGTAGTGCACACGCAGTCATCCAAGAATCTAAGGTCACAATGAAGGTTTTCTGCTATAATAGGTCTTTTAGTTCTCAGTTATAGATATTAGCATATAATTTACAACTGACCGAAAAACAAGTCGCAATTTTCAAGCTTTGAAATTTTTGAAACAGACGACTAGTAGTCATTGCAGTAATTTCTTTTTTTGTTATAATTATGAGAGAAAATCTGACTGTGCATCTAGATAGCAAAACGTAGTTTTATCTGCAATTTTAATGATACTTAACTTCCCGGTTTTCTTATTTTGGAAAAAAAAAATTTTGTGCTCAAGATAAAACACAAAAAAAAACGAAGAAAAATTTGCATGAAAAACGCTTGTCATTCAATTCCATAGTATGAAAAAATGCCTGATATACAGTTTTATTATTGTTTATTCTATGGAATTGCTTTCCAACAAGCCCTTTTAAGTCCAAAGTTTCAAACTGATACTGCTGCTTACAGGGATTTTGGGAACTAAAAACACCTCTCTGATGCTCTCTAATTAAATGACCAAGCGATGCCTTGAAAGCAACTTTTTACGGTTTTTTGCTACATTGTAAGAAACAGTTTCATACCATACATCATGTAATGTCAAATTTTCAAACGTGAATCTCCAGTAGTTTTAAAGAGAACGTGTTTCTCATAAATTGTTGGAGAAAACATCAGAAACGGGAGAAAAGTTTTCTATATTTCATCTTTTTTTCTTTATTTTCTTTTTGTCGTTTAAGGAGTTAGTAGACGGTAAAGCCAACGCCAAACTGGGGGGTGAAGCGAAAAAGGAGGGTTATGTCATCTTTAAATGATAAATTTAAAAAAATAGACCGAGGAAGGAGGGTCTGAAAAATCCTAGACGCGAATTGGTCTGCAACTCAACTGGTCACTGATGCACCTGAAGATGATGTTCTGCCTCCTTTCAGCTTCTTCAGCTTCTTCTCCTCTGGCTACTTGAAATTCCAGAGGATCGAGTGGAAGCTGAGATTGTCAACTATGATCATAGTGGTGAGTCAATTTGAAACACGGTGTAAATCCACTGACTGTAACGATATGACTCAGTAATACTAATAATCATAATATATTAGTTCCAATCTAGGACTATCATAGTTCTTTAACGTTTACTATTTAATTTTTACAAATATATAGATTGGGAGGACGCCAAATTTATCGAAGATTTTTTGTCGACCGTTTTTTAGCCGAACAAATTTATTTTCCAAGCGCTCCCAAAGACACTAAAACTACCTTATTTAGACGAAACGTTTTGCGCCGCATGCAAAACTTTAAAGAAAAAAGTTCAAAAATGCCAATTTTTTTAACACTTTTAGAAAGGTTTTGACCAAAAACAAGACCTCTTAACATGGCACTTCTAGAAAATCTTTAGGGCTGGTCATGCTATGCTGTACTCAAGTGATAAGCAAAGGCAAACACCAAACACAAATTATGATTGAGTCTTCGTTCGAGTTAACAGTTTCATCTAAAAACTAGCCAATTCTTATAGCGTCAGGCCACAAATTTTTTTTCAAGCGAAAAACTAAGTAATCAAAAACTGGATTTGCTCAAAAAACCAAACACATAAATGTCGAGCATGTGCCATTACAAAAAAAACGACTGATAGAGACGCGCTGAGAGCTTAACCACCCCATTTCAGCGGGAATCTTTGTCAACGGTTAAGAAGGCGATTTCATTCAAAGTGGTCTGATTAGTGAGTATGTAAGACAAACTAATATTAGTAATTAAGTGTAAACAGTCTAGTTCAAAAGGGAATTGAAATATGCAAAAACCAAAAAACACTGGATTTTCTTAAGGCCTTATAAAAACTTGATACCTCGAGCTCATAAAAAGTGCTTTTTTCCCTGAGGTTTTACTTTACAGCTAAGATAATTTAAAATGTGATAAATAATTTAAAATGGAAAACATTTTTTGACTTTCGGCTTTCAAAATTTTGAAATGAAACTGAGACAGAACATTTTGATGGTGAACTTGCATTGAATGAAATATAAATACCTCTGAAAAAAGCTGGTGGATTTTCAGTTCTTTTCTAATTTTCTTCGTGCTTTGCGAACAAATTGTTTTTAATATATATTTTGTTTTCTTATACAATTATTTGTTTTATGATATGAAAAATATCAAGTATAAAGGTGTTGAGATTGATTTGTTTGTTCAATACGTTAAGTTTTATGGGTCTTCTTTACCTATTCCGGGTAGCGAACATCGTAATCAGAATAAAAAACGATAGTTCTCGACTGAAAACTGATTGGCAAAAAAGTAATTGCGTTGCTGACTTTTAATTGAGTCATTAATCAAATCTTTCATTTAGTAACTGATGCGCTGTTAAATTAATTCGGGCGAATAAATACAAAAACCCAGTTTTCATCATATTCTGTTATTTTAGTTTACGATCGGTAGCGTGTGTTTGATTCTGAACGGGTACATTGTGGGGGTGTTCGCACTGCACAAACAGTTCCGCAAACTGGAGTATTACCCTCTTGCTCTCAACTGTCTATTCGATATCTTCGGACCCGGACTCGCTTTCATGGCCGCAGAGGCAACAACAAGCATCAACAAATCGTCAAGCATTAACTAAATAATTCCCGGACCAATAAAAATGCCCCCCCCCCCATCTAAATCATTGAATTTGTGACTGCTTTGAATAGTATAATTCTAGATTACTATAACTCGGGTTGTTTTGGTTAAAAGCGTATTCTCTTTCAGCCAATCAGAAATCAACAATTTGCAGATTGACTTTTACTACATAAATTTGCCGTTAGATTTTAGAGGGGTGATCGTTTATCTGTTCAATTAATGGCAAATTATTCAAACTCGACTTTGATATGCAAAAGCCGCCTCAAAAGTGTACCTGATAGCCGAAAGTCTTGCTGCCAGGGTGACAATAAAGACTGATTAATGGATGAGACAATTAACACATTTCGTAAAAAAGTGCCAAATGGGGGAATTCTTTGGGTGTTCAAGGGGTCAAATCCCTCTTTAGTCCCCCTAAATTGCTCCTGATAAAAAGTACAATATATTTTTTTGGGAAATAATAAAAATTCAAAATATTGGTTTACAACTGACGATGCTTGGGTTGAGGTTATGGACGCAAGCTACTCCTGGAATTTCGAGAAAAACGAGTATGCTTTCAAGGGACCCTTGATTCGCTATATCGGAAAGTACTACTCGCAGAATTTGGATCTGGAATGTGCCGCATTGCATTTCAAACTTCTGTTCACGCAGTACACAACTTCACCGTGTTTGCTGCTACTCGCAATTGACAGGTTACACTTTTTTTGAAAATAAGTCAACCCGGGCTACCTAGCCAGGGGAAAAACTTCAGACTTCCTGCCAGGAACTTGAAGGGTCCAGGGCAATCCTGGAGTTCCTGGAAGGAGCTGTCTAGAAACCCTGGAATTCAAAGTTTTTGAAAGAGTTTTTAACCACGATAAACATCTTTTAATCTTTGGTGTTTCATCTTAGCTTATCGACTTAAAAACAGAACAACGCTATCTTTTTTCAAGTTTTTCAAGAAAAAAACTTGAAAAACGAGGCCTGGACACCTACTAGGAACCGTTCCAAGATATCAAAGAAATCAAAGGTTTTATCAAAAAATTTGGCAACTGTCGGCTTTTGTTTGGAAGATGTTTTGAATAAACACTCAATATATTTAATCACTCTAATCCATTTTTTATTCATTCAGATTGTTAAGAAGCAAATTTTTCGTGAGAACCCTTGGACAGGGTCTTTTTACTTACGCCCAATATTCTTAGCTTCGTAATATTCAATATATAATTGCAGAGAAAAAAATATTGATCGCACTGATTGGTTTGGCTAGTACAAATGTAACTATTTATTTTTTAACAGAATTTTTAATATCGCCAAACCTTGGGCAGATGGAAGTAAAGTGATCATTTTTGCCTGGAGGTAGTTTCTGTGTTTTTTTTTACATCTGGGTAAGACTCTGCAGCTTATTTTAAATATATTTGATTAGTTTACCAAACAATCTATATTTTTGGCTTATTAACGGACTTCAATATATTGACAAAAATTTTAAGATGGTGCTGCTTTTTGATTGCCAAATTCTAGCCAATCAAGTTTCATTAAAATAGGAGTGAACAAAAAAACTAGAGCCAACTTGCTTTTTGTCCGCTCAAATGAAAAAGATGTTGATCTGATGTTTAAAATTTTTCGCGGATTTTGAAACGTGATCAAGTAATGCTGGTTGCTGTTGCAGGGGCTCTTGGGTTTTGATTGTTTGCATTTCCGAATAGAGTTGTGGATAATATTTGCTTGGCTTGTACTTTTTCTTTAGAATTGTTTTGATTTTTATTTTAACAAAATGAGACGGAATTGTATCATCAGAATGGTATCAATGACCTAAAATCAAAAAAATTAAATTTATGTTTCTGGTAATAATTTAGCTCTGGTAATTGACAATTCACTAATGGTAATCAAAAACAATGATAATTGACAGCTTATTTCGACACTTATGTAGCAGACCAAAAATTCTGGGTTTTGCCTCAGAGCATTTTTATTGTTCCAATCAGTCTCGCAGAGTGGAAAAGATATTTAGTTTAGATTGTGCTGCTCCCTATTGTGCTGCTCCCTGACGAAATTCAAATAAAGCTCTTTTAGGATCAAGAGTGGTGTCTTATTAAAACTATTTCTGTCGTTATTCGGCTTAAAACATACTGAAAATTGTAGTAGATGTTTTTTTCATACTTTTTTTTTCTAAAAAACAGAACATAACTATAGAAAAAATTATTTGAAAAGTTCTTTGGAAAAAAAATTTTCCGGAAAACTTTTTCCAAAGAAAAAGTTTTTCTTTTTTTTCGTGTTCTTCTTTGAATAATTGTGGTCTTTTTATGATTCATTTTTTATTTGTGGGCCTGTTCGGCTATTTTATTGAAAAAATATTTTCGAAAAGATATTTTTTCGTGTAGATACATTGCAGTTTGCTGGGCGACTCGTGCGAAGTCGATTCTAACGAGACGGTTGCGTCTAGTGCTGTGTGTCCTGACAACTCTTTTGCTGGCGGCCATTCTGATCGCAGCCCCCACCCGAACTGTGATGAAATACAGGGAAGGCATATACGACTGCGAAGGCAAACCGACAATAACATCACACCACACAATATCCCATAACCAAGACCCAAACCAGCAAAATCGATTTTTACCATAGGAATGTTCCAATACTTGAAGGTTTTTCATAGGAGGTCTATAAAGTTTTAGAGAAACGTTATTATGGATATGAATTTTTTTAAGCTATCATCAACTAATTAGACGAAAGAAAAATGGATATCTAAAACAATATATTTAAAAAAAATTTGGAAAAAAATCAGACTTACTACCAATTTTTCTAACTATTTTTCTATGTATTGCTCGAACTGGAGTTTCGTGAATAATAATCGATAAAACTGAACTTCTATAGCCTCTCTATTAAAATCAATTAAATCGCTGATAATCGATGATAAATAGATTATACAGTTAATATACTTCCAAGCAATATAATCCATTTTCAATCGATTTATAATCCGATATTTCCTAATTATCTAGGAAACATCTAAGAAACATTTAGTATCTATTAATCGATTATCTGGACACAATTTAGTCAGAAACAAATCCATTTTAATCGTTTTTTAACCATGAAATTTCAGCTCACTATTGTCCAGAAATTTTTCAGTCATTTATCAAAATGCTTATTGTATAATTTTCAAAAAGAAAAACAAATGAAAAGCAGCTTTTCCATACACTCCATGTATGGATTGCGTAATGAGCGTTTTTCTTGCAAGAAACTGTATGAAGAGCATTATTCGTATGAACGGCAATCCGGCCAGCTAGTTTTGTGATGTTTTTTTTTTCACTTTTAAAGCGTTTAAGTTTCAGATTTTTTTCTTAGCAAAAAGCCTGAGTGGTCGTTTTTCCTGCCGTCTTTCTTCCCTTTACTTTTGCCATCTATTTTATTTTTTCATGTCAGCTTCCTCGGATAAAAAACATTGTCTCATCGGTCGTGGGTTTTGTTGGAGCTTCTCATTTTTTGGGCTGTACCGTGCTTGTGGTGCTGTAGCAGTAGATTTTCGTCTCGTTGTGGTGTTGTGTTTCTAAATTTTACAATTATAATTAACAAAATGTACAGAATGTGTACAACTGTGTTAACTTACCTTAAGCAAAAATAATTTTAGTTGCGTGAGATTTGAGGCAAGTTCGCAAGAAAGAAAAGGAGATTGATAGTCTGGGACTAAATATGAATTGTTTTCGGAATTGCGATTTAACTATACACAGTTGTAATCGGCAGCGATTCTTCACCATTACAACAGTGTATAGCGTGAACCCCAATACCGTAAAACAAGACTGCTTGTATATCGGGGCAAAGCTTTGAATGTTCCGACTGTCCCTGAATTCATCTCAAACAGATTTTTGGGAAAAAATATATATTGAAAATCTGAAGACTTTGGTCAATATCAAAGATCAAGTGTAAAAATTTGAGTCGTACAAATTTTATATGACGGATTAGCGAGCAATTCAATTTGGAACAATTTTGTTCTTGGGAATAAATTGCCGCGCATAAATAATTCGGGTTACGCTTTCAGGATTATAGATAAAATTTTCAAAGTTCGCATAAATTGGTCCAGAGAATGGCCAAGTTGGCAATTTTTAAATTTTTATAACTTTGCAAAAAACGATACAAGGTAAAATATCTTTTAAATTTGATTTCAAGTTGTCGATATCTTCAATGGCGCAGAATTTTTTTGAAACTATTATTACGATCGCCAAAATTTGAATAAACAAAAAACCCCGCCAAGCATAAATATTCCGTTTTCATTGAAAGTCGGAACAATATTAGCATTTCAGTCTCAGCCCAAAAAATAACAACAAAGATTCTCGAAGAGTGGGAAGTAACTTTTGCGTAGGTTCAGTATTTCAATTTTTTCCAGCGAATTTTGACTATCTCAAGAAAAACTCAAAATTTCATATGGAATCAAGTGTGGTATCATACTAAAATCATCCTAGTCCTAGTAGTCATTCAGTTTCCAAAAAAAAACAATTTTTTTAGTATCAAAAAAACTGGTCTTAGTTTTCAGACTCCATCAATCAGACTAAATTTTAATTCTTCTGCAAGTTGATTGTTGTTTTAGCTTATATGTTTTTTTTCAGTCGTTCATTTTTTCAACTAATTCAGTCATAGTTGACTAATAAGATTAAGTTTTCAAAACGAAAAAAAAAGCTGCTCTCCTTCTGGTCAACTACTATGCGGGGTCTTCAAGATGGAAGGTTACAGAGAGTCGGCTTTACGTTTCATACAAATTCAATGGATAATCTTATCAATCATCTATGAAATTTTTTTTCCGAAAAACCATCTTTGAACTTGTGAAGCGCTTTACATTTCATATCATTTCAAGTGATAATTTAATTAATCGTCTATTACTTTTTAAAACTATTTTCTTCCCTGAAATACTACCATTGAAAATTTTTCCCAACATTTTCATGATTGTAATACTATTTCACATGGGACATTATGCCCTGATACTGCCATGTAAGGAATGATGTACAGCGACCCCAAGGTCAAACTGTACGTGGACGGCATCTTTTTCTACTTGCTTCCGTCCCTCGTGTGCATTGTTCTCTACTGTTTCACAGGATACCAGCTGATGAAGTCCAAGGGTAACAAGAAGGTACTGCAATAGAGGGTGGGGGTGTGGGGTGATTCTTATGCCAGAAAGACTGAATCGGCAAAATTTTCATCCAAACAACGTCCTCAAATTGTTTAAACTGACTGATTTTCAATCTTTTTAAAAATCAGATATTGGATTTTGGAATACTGGTTTATGATTGGCTGCGACATAATTGTCTAGCATTCAGTCCTACTGGACTTTTGGATGCCCTCATTTCAACTGATTTTAAGCCGATGTACAGTTCTTGAGATATATCCTTGGACCAAACGTACACTTCCACCCTTTTCACCAGATAACTTTGAATATCACCTTTGAATATCTCTTTTTATATCACCTACCTACAAAACATATTGAATTATCAAAACATAATTAAAACGTCTATTTAACAAGTTTTACGGGTTGACGAAAAAACGAATCATACAATTTTAGTTCATGGGAAAAAAAAATAATTTTCATGCAATGTCATAAGGACAAAAAATTGAATGAAGGTCTAAGATTAGTGTTTTTTCAAAGTGACAAAGACCCTGGTTACTCAAAGCTAGAGTAACCAAAGGCCTAACGTTCTTGCATGAACAATGCATTGGAAGCCACCTGAATGTCTTACACAAACAGTATCATGAAAGTAGCAAACTTCAAACTTTTGGCAAAATTTACAAATATGCTTTAATTAATTGAAACTTTAATTAAATTATACTATACAAAAATTTAAAATCAAAACAAAAAAAACGAAATAAAATTTTTGCGCAGTTTTGAAAAAATTAAAACTGAGAAATTGAAAAATAATTTAAATTTTGTGTATCCAAGACTCCAAAACTAAAATAAATACACAAAAAAAATTGCATACAGAATAAGTTTTTTGGAAACTGTTTTTTTTTAGTACAAATTGCATTTTGCGCAAAGAATTCTTTGGGGAATTTTCAAAAAACTGAAAAACCAATTATTCCAACCAAAATTTCTAATCATACAGTGTTCGTTCATGAAAATTGTACGATTAGCAATTTTTTGCAAAAAAAAAAATTCTTTTTCAATTATGCCGAAATAAGAAAATCGTTCTTTCAAAACTCAATTACACCATTTTAGCCATCAAGTATGAAATTTGAAAGAACAGCTTTTTTATGGACTTGAATTATGAAAATGAATGATCATCATTTTCGGTATATGGAGGTCAACCCACGTTTTCAGCTCATCAAAATACATATTGAAAACAAAATTTTACAAAATTATTTTGCGCATTTGTACGAAATGCATTTTTTATACAAAAAGAAATTTCAGAAAAAATACATGCTTGGAGAGAATTAACACATGCTTAGGTAGGTCACATAGGGGGAGGGGGCAGAGATTGCACGATTGATCCAAAACATTAAATTAAGACGATGAATTGTTTACTAGTTAACAAAATTACCCATACAAAAATTTTTCTACTCTTTGAAGATTTTAATAACAAAACTTTTGTCTGTCGCCATTAGTAGGATGTTAAGAAACGTAAGCATAGACCAGCAGCAAATGATGTAAGTTTTGTGTATAAAAGTTTTGGTATTGGACTTATTGGACTTATACTTTTTCCAGTTTTGAAGTAGCATCTTTATTTATCTGCGTTTAATTTATCCAGCAGCCTGAAAGTTTTAGTATGGCAGAGTTACGGCAAAATCTACACGCACTGAACGCAGTTTTTATAAGTTTTTTTTCTGTTTTAATGAAATGAAGTTCTTATCGTCGAATAAAAACCAGTTTAAGCAGCTGTAAAAACATCCTGCTGGTTGTGAAAACTGGCTTTATCAAACCTGGATCAAACCACGGCCCTTGTTAAAATCAAAAACCAATGTTTTTATCGATGACACCTCGGATTATTTGCTGTCCGTCAATGTATAAATTTTGTTCAAAGTTGTTATCATTTGTGGAAAATGGTCTTTAAAAAAATAAACTAGAAAAAGTAGAAAATTTTTGGGTTTAATTTTTTCCACTTGCTATCTTCTTCGCCTTGAAATTTTTCAGCCAACTTCACAACTGATTGCAAACACTCAGCAAACAAGAAAATGCAAACAAGAAAATCTCTTATCATAGTTTTTTTTTGTAGAAACGATGTTGTATATTGCAGTTTTTTATTAAAAAAACATTTCCTATCTTACCAAGTGCAGATCTAGGGTTTTCTCTCTGCTGATTTTCAAAAAGTTTTAGAAAATTTCGTCAAACTTTTTTTAGGTCGAATAAAATGGTTATCGAGCTCTCCCAAAGCACTAAAAAGACCCTGTTTCGGTCATATTTTTTGCGCCGCAGGCAACAAAATATTGAAAAAAAAAACAATTCAAAAGCGCGTTTTTTGAAAATTGTAACCAAAAAATCGCGTTTTTTTCGGCGGGGGCTTCCATCTCAAAATCATTCAATATTACCGCCTAAGGCGTCTTCAGAAAAGTTTTTGAGGGGCCGTCAGCCAAAAATGGATATTCCAAAATGGTTTTATTGAAAAAACTCTGCGAGCATCACTTGACAAGACGATTTGATTTTTTGATGACTTCACATCTCGGAGTTATGTAATATGATCAAAAAAAGTTTGTTCGAAAACTCCAGACATGAAAGCTATTATTATGATTAGTTTTAAAGGAAAAGCCTTAAGATAGCAATTTTTGGTCAACAAAAGACTGCATGTCTGCTCAAACATTTGTTCTAACAGGTGCGTAACCGGAATCTCACAATAGCATTTCTCCTTTCCAATCTGATCTGGATCATAGTTTGGATTCCTCAAATGTATGCGGCATCTTTAACCGTGTTCAAACAGCTCTCTTTTGCGGAGACCATGAAGCAACCCTTCTCCTATTACATCATCAACAGATACAGGCTAGTACAATACGTCATTTTATTACATCGTCAACAGAAACAGTTCTCTTATACATCGTCAGCGGGTCTAGGGCAAACATCCGATATGTCAAACATCTGTCTCGGTTTGAGATAACCGGCTCTAATTTTCATATGGATTCGTACCCTTTGTCGCCAAGCTCGCAACACATTGGCGCAAAATTTCTGCAAAAACAATTTGAAAAAAAGGAATTAAGAAAATCTCATTTTTTGTTTTTCTAGGTTTTTTTTTCAAATCTGTTGTCCTGTTTGCCTTTTAATCATTCATATTTTTTTCAAATAGTTATTTTTATCTCAAATATGATTTTCTGTTCTCAAATCTGGAAGCGTTAATGTCATCGAAAAAAATATATTAATTAGCCCCATGTAAAATGCAGGAGCTGAAAATTTTGCTGAGTTGTTTCATTTCTTCTGTAGGCTTGTAGAAACCATGACCTCATCAAAACCAAACTTTGAAGATTTTCGGGTTCATTTTGAAATATCCAGTAATAAAAAGCATGACCTCTTCGTGTTGCTGATGTTGTAGAGGCTTATTAGTGGTCAAAAGACTCAATGTTGTCCCAATTTCCCCCCCCCCCCCCATTTTCACAGAAAACAATTTTTTAACACACTTTTTTTGTTTGTTTATAGGTTTCTGAGTTATGTATCTCACTCTTACGCGAACCCAATTCTGGTTCTGTTCATCTCGAAGAGGTTCCAGGAGCCAATCAAGCGACTGGGAATCTGGGGCAAGATCCAGTCCACCTATTCTGGTGTGGCAAGCACCGCTGGATCATCTGGAATGCGTGCGGGGTCATTAAAAGCAGAGCAATCCACGAACACTGGAGGAAACAGTCGCAATTCAGAAGCAAAACTGAAGCCATGAAATTATTACATAATTCATTATAAGGCCAAACTGTGCAATTTGTGAATTGAAAGCGGATTCCGCAACAGGCTTAAAAAAGATTGTTACAAAATCTTGAGTTTTGATAACTATTTCCCGACCTATTTGTAACACCATTGCAACCAAATCTTTAAACAACCCCCCTCAACCAATCTGCACCAAAGAGGATACCTACCCGCACCAAGCGCCCATGTATTCTATTCTAGCACCCTAATCGATTATAATGGATACAAACAATCCAATTTAACTGAGACAAAAACAATTCATCATGAGCCATTGAAGATTAAAAATTCAGACCACGAAGTTGATTATATTGCCATTATAATCGATTAATTTTGAAAAAAAAAATCCATTATAATCCATTACAATCAATTATAATCCATTAATTTTGGAGTTTTCAATCATTTCAATCATAAACTGTGGAGTTTTCAATCATAAACTGTGGAGTTTTAAATCATAAATTGTGGAGTTTTCAATCATTCACCCCCCCCCCCCCAATTCTACCATTGAATAAATTCCCCACCCTAACATCGTTCAAACCTTACTTCCCCCTTCCCTGCGAAGGCGATTTTTGATAAAAACAGAAACGGTGAAATTAAGTGTTAAACTGCGATGAATTGAAAAAGTAGAGATAAGAAAATATATAAATTCTATTGTGAAATTTAACCTTTTATCAAACGTAATACCTAGCAACTGCACTAAATAGGATATGAGAAAGTTTTTAAAAAACATATAAGTTTCATGGATAACCTCTAGACAAAACCCTTTTAATTAGTTATAATTGGTTATAATGGATTCTGTTGGTATAAAAACTATAAGGATCATAATCCATTTTTAATGGATTATAATCGATTATTTTGTAATTTTATAGATACTGACCACATTATGACAACATAATCGAGTATGATTCATGGGCGCTCGGTGCTGTTAACCAGGATCTTACTTTTTGGCATTTTTGCTAGAAACTTACTCTTAAAATTTTTTTGATAATTTCTGCTTTCCTCTGTTATCTGATCTCCCCTGTTTTGGATTTTAAATGTTCCTCTTGTTAAGTCCTCAAAATCAGTATTATGCGTTCGAATTCAATATTTCCAACTTCCAATGCACTTTAATTCACAAAAACACGAAAAAAATATTACCGTCAATTTTGAGATCAAAATGGTGAGTTGTAGTTTTATGGACTAAAAGTTGAAGTAAGCAAGGCTTTTTCTTTGAACAATACGTGTAACGACACTGTCTCCAGACCAAACGTTTATAGTTATCACAATAGAGAATTTTTCATCCAACAGAAAATATTTTTGACGATTTTTGACTTCTGTAGTTAGGAACTAAAATTACTTAAACCAACTTCGACTTTTAACTACACGACAACTAACTTTCAAAACCAAATAACCAAGAAACAAAAAATAATAATTAATTCATATCTGAATAATAAAAGCTAAACTCTCAATTTTACTTTTAGAAGTTGACGATTACTTATCTTCTCAGACAGAACTGATATAGCAGAACAAGGGAAAAAGGAAGTTTGGGACAATCGGTGATTTATTTTTTCCATGCTAAACATATTGAGGATTTTGAATTTATAAAAATGTATAAAAATCTAATTTCAAAAACGGATCTTAAAGGCAATTGTTTTTCATCAATTTTTTTCTGAACGCTAAACCAAGGGAGACACCGCATTTCCGTCTAAAAGGTCATCCGTTCGCTGCTCTATTATTATGATGACATTATTTGGTATGAATTGAAGTTTAGTCACTTTTCGCCCCCCCCCCCACACACACACACACACTCAAACTACAGTTGAACTTCAACAACTAAACTAATTTGATCTTGCCATAATGTATTGAAACTTTGCATGGTGAACAAATTAAAAAAAAATTTCATACTTTGAGCCATAATAGCATTTAAAAGTAGACTTTAAATGTAATTTTTGATTTGTGTGTGAGGGGGGCATCTTCACAAATTCGCTGAAAACGCCGATGGTGACAGTAACTTTGAGGAGATATTCAAGCGGCATTTTTTGCTGAACAATAAAACAAAAAATAATTGCAAAAAAGATCAAAAAAATTTATTTTAAAAGTTCGTCCGGCCCCCATGCGAGTCCCAGATCCGCGCTATAAAGATGAAAGGGTTAAATGGGATAAAGGTTAAATCATATTAGTATTTACTTAACAAAAGGGTTTTCGCAACTATTGGAGTAGTTGATATATGCACGCAGGGATGGATTTGTGGGAGAGACGCTTTTTCGCTCCGGGGTTCGATCCACTGAGTTCAGAAAATGAAGCTGGCCAACTGAAACAGAAGATTGGCAGAATTTTCAATTTTTTTCCTGCCAAATTTAACATACGATTGCAAATTAGTTGGTAATTTGTTTTGGTATTCAAATTTTGAAGTATAATTTTTTATAAGTGATAATATATGGAAATCAGCCCTTTTTTGTTATGTGTTCCTCTGTGGAGTTTAGAGTCAGAGATGGTGCCAGAGACTCTATTGGCCAATAGTGATCTGTTCGTCAAGTGTGGATTCTGTCAACAGGTAGGGATTGCAACAAAAATAAATTATCTTTTACTGTAACCCAAAGATGGAACCCACATCGCGTTTTTCGGCGCGCGCTCCCCCCTCAAAATTAGTATAAATTGGCGCCGAAGGCGCCCTTAGAAAAATTTTAGGGTCCGTCACCAAAAATGGGTATCTCAAAATAGTACAAAGGGGTGTCCGCGCCCTGCCCCTCTTCCCCCTCCCCTAAATCCGCTGGTGATCTAAGGCGATGCTTTAATTTACACACACTATTCCTCTGGTGCTGAATGTAAGCGCACCGGTCGCTACTACTTGACAATTTTTTTTCAGGAAGTGTAGCTTGTTACGAATCGGAAGTGTAGTTAGTAACGAATTTTTATGTATATGTGTCAATACAGTTGAAAATGGAAGCTTTCTAAAAAAATCTGATGATTTCACCAAATTGCGCTGTTAAAAGTTTAAATTAGACCGTGTTGCTTAGAATTTCACCAGAATTAATATAGGTTGCAATTATTTCTCAATAAGTTCTCAACCAAAATTTTATCCCGAAAATCGGTCATTTTGACTTTTTCAATTAATCAAGAATTAAACTAGAATTAACAATTATCTGCTTAATTAGCTGAAACATCCCAACAAAGTCTAGAAGGGTAAAACTTCCAAAAATCGGTATGAAAGGGTTTTTTTGTGGTTGATAGCCAAAAAAAAGTATTTTTACTACATTAAAATCAAAATCTTTGCTTTAAAACAAATTTCAAACGTTTTACGAAGTTAAACTTTTCTAGGATTCACTTATTAAATTTTTATGTATATGTGTCAATGCAGTTGAAAAAAAAGCTTTAAAAGAAAAACTGATTATTTAACAAAAATGCGCTGCAAACTTCAAAAATTAAAAATAGACCCTGAACAAATGTGTCTTGCAAAATGTTTTTGTACATTTTTTTGCAAAAAATCACTAGAAATGAACATCAAAGTGCTACCCGTGCTCAATTTTTGTTCTGTTTTAGTGAACTAAGAAAAATGATGATTTCAAAAGCATTTTACTGAACTTTTTCTAAGTAAAAATCAATTTCCTTGAAAAAATAGAGCAATAAAATTCCCTTTTTATTTTAGAAAACTGTACCAAAAATAAAAAACGCTTTTCTGAAAAATTTTGCCTAGTGCTCACAAAAATTTTGCTTTGTCTTTATAGACCCTAGTAATTGACCCAGCACCATATAAAACCCGTAAAACACACCAAAAAATGTTTTCGTGCAAACTTTTTTCCTTAAAAATATTGTTTTTCCTAAGAAAAGTGGGGAAATGTGATCGCAGATTGCAAAAAAAAAAATTCATAAAATTGAAAATGAAAAAAAAATTGTTACTTTCATTCTACTGCCCTAAAATTTAGTTTTTTGCATCTCAGAATCGAGAAATATTTTGTAATAAAAATTCAGAAAAAAAGAGATTTCACTCAAAAAAAGATTTCACGCAAAAAATCTCTCTGCATTTGTAACATTCTTTTTACTTGCGTTCATTGGCTCTTTTCCATCTGTTTGTTGGCTATGTTTATTGTTTAAATCCAGGTAATTGAGGACCCTGTGACTCTACCCTGTGGTCACGTGTTCTGTGGCAGTTTAAACTCGAGGGACACAACAGGAAGAGGAGCAGAGAGGGACCTATCTGCAGATACAACCAGAGGATCTGGTAGCAAAGGGGACAAATCGGGTGGAAAAGGAGGGAAGGAGAAAGAGAAGGAGAGGGTCAAGAGTTGTGTGGCTTCTTTGAGCAGAGGCAGAAGACAGGTGGGGAGGTGAAACTAAATAAAAAGATATCATAATTAAGAGGAGGGGGTCGTGGGGGGGGGGGGATTGTTGTTGAAAGGGGATGGAATTTGAGGTTTGTACGGATACCCTTGCAAATTCAAGTCCAAATCCTCGCAAATCGGATCATTGTTTGTATTACATGATTTTGCCAGATGAAATAAATAAGAAAGAAAAATTTTGACATACACCCGAATACAAAGATCAGAACAAGAGAGTCCAGAAAATTTTTTCAATGGTCGAGATGCTCGAAACAATCGTGAAATTTCATGCGTTTGTCTCATCAGTCGTGACATTCCCATTTTTTGTGCAAATTGATCAAAACATATCTAATCTGGGCAAAATCGGCACATAATTTCTTCGCTCGAGAAAGTCGAGACAGTCAAGATATACCTTGTTCTGGTCAAAATTACAAAACATATCGCAGTCAGGTCCAGCAAGGTCGATCAAAGTTGAGCTTAAGTCAAAACATGCCGAATTCCAGGGGCGGATTTAGGGGGGGGGGGTGTTCTGAATTGAAATCAGAAACATAATTATTAAACTTTTACCACATGTTCTGACTTGAAATCAGAAACATAATTTTTAAACTTTTACCATATGTTCTGTCCTGAAAGTATGTGTTTGCTCGGTTGATAAAATATCACCAAAAGCAAACATTACACATGTGTTGTTTCTTTCTGATGGGTTTAACCAACAGATGGAATGTTGAAAATATCAAAATCTACGGTATATAAGCCAAGCGAAAATATACCAAATATCACTTCATCACTTTCTCAAAATCTCAAATCTCATAACCACTCTCGTACTGAGACCCCCAA